TAAATCCACAGTGTGGAAATAAAGTAACTTTCTTCCTAAGTAACAGCGTCTACGAAGGGTGGGGCCACATCAAACTCAAAAGGGGAGCCACGAGCAAAAAAAGGTTGAGAAACACTGCTCTACACAACAAACAATTTATATTACATTTAAATTACACTTCAAGTTACACTAACTATGTACCTAAACAACGCTGACAAACATTTAAATTACACTTCAAGTTACACTAACTATGTACCTAAACAACGCTGACAAACATTTAAATTACACTTCAAGTTACACTAACTATGTACCTAAACAACGCTGACAAACATTTAAATTACACTTCAAGTTACACTAACTATGTACCTAAACAACGCTGACAAACATTTAAATTACACTTCTAGTTATCCTAAAAGTGTTCGTAATCAGGTTAAAACAAGTGGGAAAGCTCAACTAATGACTACTTTTGGTCCTTAAATCCTAGGTTTGTGTAACTGTTAGAACCAGTTCTTCTCAAACCTTAATTTTTATCGTTGTCTGTATCGGTTGGTAATTTAAATTCAGAAATAATGATCGTTCAAATTTTATAGAAATTACTGTTAAGTACGAGAATGCAATGCTTTTCTTCCTAAATAAACAAGCATGACTCGAAAAATACTTCAAAACGTTTATATCAAAATGATTTACATCTTGTTCAAAACTACGTCAGCTAATGCTTAATGTCTTATGCTTTAAACAAAATCTGAGGAAATACTCGATGGTTAGTGAAAAATATAAGATAAAAAAAAATAGTCCAAAAAACAGAAGTCCGCCGCAAAAATATGTCATTTCTATGTCTACTTGGCAAGACCGATCACTCCACAAGCTACTCTGGCCCCCGAATTACCGGATGTCTTACTCATTGGGTGTCTACCTCTTCCCAAATCATCCTCGCCTGCATGGACCTGGAAGGCAAATAATTTAAATATGTTAATGTTTCATGATAACGCTAAAATTGTACATTTTGTAACGTAAGAACAACCCCATCTTCCTTAAAGATAATGCGAACAGATTTTATTATTCAAAATTTAGCGTTCCGTGTTGTGTTATGTTAGTTAATTTGGGAATTTGTTTGATTGTTGACAAGATGTTCCTGTTGCAAAAAAGTTACCATTTACAAGTAAAATGCATGTTAATTTAGATATCCCAAGAGTTTATCTTGTCGATGACAAGATTTCATTGTTATTGTTACGATAGCGGAAGTCACGTGATGCTAGTAACACGTCATGGTATTCTCGAAGGTTCGTGAATGCTCGAGTGTTTATTAGATGTGCGGTATTCTTGTATATAATACCGCCAAGAAGTGGCGGCGACAATGGAATTGAATTGCAGACAGAGATAGAGACTGACAATTGATTCAAGCGCGTGAATCGTTCGTTGTGAATTATAGCGTTTGTTTAAGTTATAGCGTGACTGTGGAAATTAAATGTATTGCAGGGTTGTATTGAGAAATAATAAACTAGTTTTATTTAAGAAAGAACTTGTATCGCTAAAGTTTCTTCGCAAAGAATTTTTACGGAAAATTAACAAACGAACAGAGACGTAACATTATGATCAAGCCATAGCCTTATTATAAAATAGCTATCTTTATTCTGGATTATAACATTTATTGTTGACCAAAAAAATGGCTTAGTGTTAATTAGTCAAGTGTATATATAAATTTTGTGTCCGTCGAAATATGAATTTGAGTAAGTTGTTTTTTCATTGATTATCAAGAATGTTCTTATATGAGTTTGTTCAATTATAACAGAAACTGAAACCTATCATTTTAACATATTTTGTCTGTTTATGTATAATTTCAAGTAATAAACAACTAAATATTGTTCACATCCAGCAGCTCATCTTTACTTCCATCAATAAAACTGTTACGCTATTTTCTCTGATTACATCATCTGATATATTCAGATCCAGTAGCTCATCTTTACTTCCATCGAATAAAACCGTTACGCTATTTTCTCTGATAACATCATCTGATCTATTCACATCCAGTAGCTCATCTTTACTGAGCTATTAAAGAAATTGACTACATAAATGAGTAAAGAACCTATTCGTAGGTTTGATATATATAGAGAGCTATTTAACAGACTATTTTATTCTAACTAATAGCCTATAACCTAAGGGAGACAGTTACGATATCGTCTTTCATATTGACTATCAGTACGAACAACACGTGTTAAGACAAATTTGTAATAACAAGACTAGCTCACCACAATCGCTCGCCCCAAGATGGATAGAGGTCCAGTCAATGAGAGGAAGTGGTCAATTAAATGGACTTTTGTCACTCCATCGTAATCTGCCACAACATTTCCCAGGTCTCCTACATGTCTGTTAACAATAAAAGCATCATCCATTAAAAATAATTTAGAATTATTGCTGAAACATTGGTAGACCTGAAATAATAAAAGTTTTGAACATGTGATGCAGAAAGATGAAGAACATTGAGGTCCCTCAGCATTAGCTGTGGTTAAGAAAGACGTTTTGTTCACATGTTAGACCAAAGTTCTTAATATTTAACTTTTTATACTAACTTGCACAGTTTACCAGTAGCCATGAACAGCATATCTATCTTTGTTTACTTCTATCAATAAAACCGTTACGTTATCTTAATATTTAACTTTTTATACTAACTTACACAGTTTACCAGTAGCCATGAACAGCATATCTATCTTTGTTTACTTCTATCAATAAAACCGTTACGCTATCTTAATATTTAACTTTTTATACTAACTTACACAGTTTACCAGTAGCCATGAACAGCATATCTATCTTTGTTTACTTCTATCAATAAAACCGTTACGCTATTTTCTACCTCCAAGAACTTTGTTCATCTGCCCAAACTCGATTTAGTGTTTAGCCTGATAACACCATCTCACCTGAATCTATCTCCAGGAGCTCCGTGGTCCTGTTCAAAAGGATTGAAGTGGCCTCCAGCACTTGTACATCCTATATGGGGAAAATGTTTCTTAATCAAAACTGTTCTGGTGAATTAATCAGTTCCTTTAGTTGGAAATTAAAGCCTTTTAATTATTACTTCTAGAATGTTTTATCTTTAGAAAAAAAAGCATCGAAATTACTCTGAAGGTGATAACCATTTACTGTAACTCAGAAGTTATGAAAACCAAAACATAAAGGTAATTAATTGTTTTGCTGTTTCTTTGCTGTTTACAACTCTATAGTAGACTATATCAAATGATCTTTTCACGACAAAAATGCGAAACTCAATAACTCGAGTGCTTTCAAAAAGTGCTTCAGGAACAAACTGATGAAGAAAGGTCCACCTTTTAAAGTGTTCGGGTTACAGAGTTTAATATTCTAGTCTTTAATTTATTTTTTCAATATACATGTTTTCCTAATATCAGAAATAATTGTTATCATTATGCCTGCGGTTGTTTACTACATTAAATAGACCTCACTGGTACTACCAGTGGAAACTTACTCAGAGACCTTATGACAATCGTCTTACAACTACCTGGTAATAATTGTTCTTACCATTACTAAGATCGCCCAATTCGTGCACGTGGAACCCGTGTAGCCCTTTCGATAGTCCAATGATCTCGCCAGTAACTAGTACCGGACAGCCGACATTCTAAAACAGAATTGGGCAAAACGACTAGGTTAGTTAAGACTAAAGAAAACAGATCGGTACAATACAGTGATTGACATAGCATTATTTCTCGATGGAGACTCAAAAGTAAGAAGATATCCATGTGGTGTGCTTTAAAAAAATATTATATTATGTTAAACTAACAATGGTAGCTTTATATTTTACGTTTACACAAAACAATTACAAAAATATAAATCTATAAGATAAAGAAAATGAACTGTTTGCCATGTCTTATATGAAACAGTCAAACTTGCACTAATTGAGTAGAAAAACACATAAAAATCCTGCTATAATATCCAGAAAACAAATACTCGAAGGCAGAAAACTCACTAGTTTCTCAGAGAATTAGTACAGGAAATGAATACCGTTCGCCTTTAATATGCAAATTAACCTAGTTAAAAATTTTGATATACAAATTAACCGAGTTAAAAATTTTGATATACAAATTAACCGAGTTAAAAATTTTGATATACAAATTAACCGAGTTAAAAATTTTTATATACAAATTAACCGAGTTAAAACAATTTTGATATACAAATTATTTAAGTAAAACAACTCTGATTTCAAGGTAGTTACGTTACAACTCCAATATACAGTTAACCAAGTTAAAACAACCCTAATATTCAGGTTTACTAAGCTATAAAAACCCCGATTTTCAAGTTAACGAACTCTGATATTCAAGTAAATAGGTTAAAAACAATACTGATATTCAAGTAAATAGGTTAAAAACAATACTGATATTCAAGTAAATAGGTTAAAAACAATACTGATATTCAAGTAAATAGGTTAAAAACAATACTGATATTCAAGGTGGTGTAATTAAAATAATTAATTTCAATTTATAAGAATGAGATAAAATTAATGTATTATTTTCATATCAAATATCAGATTGTAGTTTGTTTTGTAAAGTAAAAGTATGTCAAACATACTATAATACATCATTTCCTGTCCTACGGCTTGTGTTAATACTGACAATAGATTTCCTGTCCAACAACTAGTGTTAATAATGACTATAGCTTTCCTGTACAACAACAAGTGTTAATAATAATTATAACTTTCCTGTATAACAATTAATGTTACTAATGGCTATAGCTTTCCTGTATAGCATTTAATGTTACTAATGACAATAACTTTCTTGTATAACATTTAGTGTTAATAATGACTATAGCTTTCCTGTATAACAATTAATGTTACTAATGACTATAGTTTTCCTGTATAACATTTAATGTTACTAATGAAAATAACTTTCTTGTATAACAACTAGTGTTAATAATAATTATATTAGGTCATCAAGAAATTAATGTCGCTTTTATTTTAGATGAAAAAACCCAAACAACTTGTATATCAAAACAAAATATTTATTAAATGAAATAGTCTCCATTCTTATCGATGATGCTCTTCTATCTTACAATCAGGTTGTTAATGCCCTGATTAAAAAAATCACTCATTTTCCGTCATTCACGTGTGGCCCCTTAGAAACATGGCGTGGCCCACGTTGAGAACCACTGGTTTTCTAAGTCTTTAGAGCATCAGATGTAACTGAGGTGACTTTTATCTCAAGAAACTTGATATTATGTTTGATCATAAACAACCACAATGAGTGAAAATAAACAGAAGTGAGAATGAGAATTAATTCCTTTCTTTACAAATTCAAATATTAATTTTCAAGTTTATGTTTCCATGGCTACGTAACTGGAATGTCCAACCATGATCATTCAGTATAAAAATAAAGACGAATAACGTAAGTTAAAGGTAACTTAAAAATCTGTTGTCTTGTGAGAATCATCCTTGGATAAAAAGTTTCGAGAGCAACATGTTTTCTGAAAGTCGGTTGATCTCTCTGTTTTATTTAGCATTAAATCAGTTCAATGTTCTTTAACAGAACGATGACGTTGTGATTACTATTTATTTTCCAATATGTGCTCCACTTACCTAGATTCCGAGAGGTTAACAATCTCGAAAAAAAAACGACCGATTCATCTTCGTTATTTCAAGTAACTGTGAAAATCATCAAGCGTTTGATTTTCAGTTCTATTTTATTTTTCAACTGTTTATTTGTGTCTTCTAAAAAATTGAACAGACCACGACTCAAGTGAGTCCACTCTTATAATGACACAAGTAGCTTTTTAAGCCTATCGTTTCACGTGTAACAAGCAGCGTGTAATATTTCCCGATATGAAACAGACTTGTCCCGGAATCTCTTAGGAAGAGACCGGTTTGCGTTCTTACGTAAGTTATCTCAATTAGGAGACCTCGTACATTGTTACATAATATATCACAGCTACATGGTTTTAAACGTTATTATGTAATATAAATTTGTTTGTTGAATATTTTATTATATATAAAATATTGATAATAATTATACCATCAATATTTGTTTATATACCAATAACTAAATAAAATAGCGTTTTATAGATGTGTTACTACCACGTTTTATTTGTGTTAACTTGAAACTATAGACCAGGTGGCGTCCGAATACAAAAATACTCCATTGTTTTTGTTGCTCCTATTGTTGGTGAATTTTGCGCAAAGCTACTCGGGGACTATCTGTGCTAGCAGTCTTTAATTTAGAAGTGATAGGAAGGCAGCTAGTTACCACCATCCACCGCCAACTCTTGGGTCTTTACCAACGAATAGTGGGAGTGACCATCACATTATAATGCCCTTTATGAGTGAAAGGTCGAACATATTCGGAGGTGGGATTCGAACCCGCAACCAACAAATTTTAAGTCGAGTGCCCTAATCATCAGGCCGTGTCAGACTTTCGTAATACAAAACAAAAGTGCATGATCTTTAACGTTGTTACGTAATATATTATAACTACATAACGGTAAACGTTATTACACAATATAAACGCAACTACGTGCTGTTATTCGTTGTTACTTAATATGAAACACTATCACTACACATTTAGCGTAGTTACGTAATATATGACAACTACAGTTGTTACATGCTACACCACAACTACACGACCTCAACTGTTTATGTCTGCCCGAACCTCCTTTCTATATCTCGAAACGCCTTTTTCTAAATAGAAACTAACCGTACTTTCTTACTTGCAGAATACGAAATACGCTTAGAAAATAAAGAGTCTCGAACTATTAGGTCGTCAAGAAATTAATGTAGTTATTTTTAGATGAAAAAAACCCGAACAAATTATATATCAAAACAAAACATTTATTAAATGAAACAGTCTCCATTCTTATCGATGCTGCTTTTCCATCTTACAATCAGGTTGTTAATGCCCTGATTAAATAAATCACTTGGCTTTGAAGCAAAAAAATGTGTCGATGTCCTCTTTAACACC